GAGAGAGAGAGAGAGTTGCATGTGGGCTGGTATTGTTTTCTAATGTTTGGTGAAATTTGAGTAGCCCCTAGGCTCTCCTCATTGTTGCATATGCTTTTTTACTACTTTTTAATCTTACAATCTAACTGGTACCCATGGCCTATGTGGCATCCAACAGAAAGCTCTGAAGCGAAAAGCCAACTTTGAAGAGAGCAAGAAACTGAAGGAAAGGCTCCGAGCCTCTAAATTCGAAAATGAAGAAAAGGTGGAGTAACACTATCCTACCAAGTGGTCCATCTCTTGAAAACACCGCCACAAACCATGTAAAATCTAAAAATACCAATTCATGTGAATGTTGCTGCTGCATGCCCGGGTACTTGAAAGTGAAATGGTTTACGAAGTATATATGAAGCTTAGGAGTCGGAGTTTGGCCTTAGAAAATGTTGCAGTTGAAATTCTTTTATAGAGCTCACCAGTTAGTGAGATGGCATCATGCATTTGTTCGCAAAATATTATGATAAAGAATTTGATTAAAAGCAAAATTCTTTTGCTTTTTTCTGTCTACCACAGACGAAACTTGTAATGGAGAATGAAACTTCAAGCTTTATCCTTTTAGAAGAAAACCAAAAGAGAACCTAATATTTTGAAAGTAACTTTGCAACTAGGTTGTGTTTTACTCCTAGTGACTAATTTATTAGGTCTCTCCCTTTATTGATTTAGGGTGTGGTTTCTATAAGGATGCAACCTTAAACAATCTAATTAAGGCAGGTGTAAAATATTCATAGGATTATTTTAAAATCTAGTTTCATATCTAATTATAAAATTTTAAATTCCAAAAATGGTTAAAATCAAGTAGATCTATAAACGTATGAAAATCTTGAAAATGGACGGTCTAGATAATGTCTTGCAAGATGCATACTTTCTGGGACTCAAAATCATTTCTGTTTTATATTTATACATCTTGGTGTCAAGGTGATCAATTAGAGGGTTTTTTGAAATTAAAAGAACTTTTTTCCGATGGATTTTTGAGGTGCATCTTTAAGTTTACATTTTAAGGTTGCAACTTTATATAAACTTTTTCCATTAATTAACCAACGTACTATATGACTTCAATTAATTCATGATATTTTACTTGCTTCTAAAATTTACTAGTGACATGGCTTTTTTTTTCGCGAGTCCCATTAAAATGTTATATTTAATGTTAGTTAGAAATACTATGATAAGTAATATAACAAACGAGAAAATATGACTGTCTATTACTTCGTGCTATTAGATATTTAATTATTAAAGAGTGTGAATTGAATAAAGCGTCAAAATTATAGATTTGTTCCGGTGCTAGAAACCTTACAATGGCAAAAAATCTACCTGAAAAGCTTGTTCAGGTGCTAGAAACCTTACAATGGCCAAAAAGATGTATTTTGAGCCCTAACTATAAAATTTAACTCCAAATATGGTACAAGATTAAGCAGATTATGCATTGGAAAATTCTGGTAGTAGATAGTTTGCATAAAATATGTTACTTGAAATTTATTTTTTTTCCTTTTAGTGTTTGTACATTTTGAGGTCAACATAATCAATTGTAGGGTTTTCTGACATGGGAATAACTGTTTATGTGGATTTTTGAGCTGCATCTTACTTATACAATATAAGGTTGACACCTTATATAAACTTTTTTCTTTTATTAAAATGAGTAAATTGTTAATGTAATATTTTGTACTAATGCATAAAAATATGATACAGTAGTCTACTAAAAAAAGATTCGATAGCAAATTTAATAATGTAAACATGATGTCATTTTAATAATAATCAATTCAATAGTAATTATATTATAAGATAGATCAATTAATATTATACAATTCCTCATCAATTAATATTATAGATTATGCTTGGGTCATTCACGATTTGTAATCTTTCTAATCATGTACATCCTACTAAAGAAAAAAAAGATAATAAATTTAAGCTAAGGATTTGAGAGAGAGCACTATGGCAGTGCCTCTCAGATTGACTAGGTTCGTTGGATCTAGATTGGGTTGGAGCCAGAGGGTTGGACCATCCCCTAATTTGATCGTGGGCCATGACTCTTATACTTGTGCTAAACTAAAAAAGTTGGACTTAGTTTGGACATGGACTTAGACCAGAGTTGGCATGTATTAGGGCTTGCCTTAGGTGTGGACTTAAACTCGGGCCTAGATCGTACCTAGGCTTAGGTTTGATTCGTGGACTGAAGTTAGCTAATCGTGGACTCGGATCTAGCTAGGCTTAGACTCGAACATAATTGAATCTAGTTGGGCTTAGACTCGAACCTGGCTAAACCTAGACTAGACACGAGTTAAATCTGGGCCTAGACCAGGGGTGAATTTTACGTGGACTTATGGACAGACTTGAGTTAAACGCAGGTGTGAGCTGTGATCTAAACTTAGAGAGACCTTGGTTTAGACCAAGGTGTGGACCTGGATCGATACCTGGGTTTAACTGGGCATGAGCCCTGACCTAGACTTAAAGGGACCTAGGTTAAGATCCTAATGTGGATGCAAGTCAAGACCTGGGTTAGATTGGGTGTGAGCCCTAACTTGGACTTGACAGGAGGGCCTAGGTTTAGACTTGGTTGTTGACTTAGGTTAGCATAGGCGTGAGCCTTGCCTTAGACTAGATAAGAGGGCCTAGGTTTGGACTTGGGTGTAGACCTAGTTTGGACTTGGGCTAGGTTGGGCCTGAGCTTTGGCTCAGACTTAGAAGGATTTGGCTTCAGACTGAGCGTAGCCCCGGACCCCATACCTGAGCTTGAATTGACAAACTTAGGTCTATGCGCAACAATGCAGTAAAAATATTTGAAGTAGGGTTTGCCCTAGACTTTGGGTAGGCTAGGCTTGGTAGGGTTCCTAACTATTGAAAGGTTGAAATGTGGTTAGGCTGAACTGAGTTCCCACGAAGGTCATGGTCACTTGTTAAAGGGATCAACCAAGTCTTACTATGTGCGGGGTTACTTTGAGGCAGAGAATTACATAAGGGTGCTCACTGTTAAAGTAGCACAACTCCAACCATCCTTGCTCTCAAGGATAAGTGCCTCTCACAATGTTAATATCAGTTTTGGGGTGTTCTAAAAAATATTGAAATGGTTTTTCAGGCTTCCCCGGTTTGTGTGCAAGTGATGTGTAAGATGAATGCAAGTGCACGTGTGTCAAGAGAATGTGGCAGTCAATCACGATGCCCAATCATCGGGAAATGAGCACTAGGTACATTTCACAGTCAGAGGTGACTAGACTGATGGCACAATCAGAGTAGGGTGCTGTAGGCAGCCCCTAAAAATGTATACAATTCACAACGCTCAATCTGTGCCAAGTCTCGGCACAGTTAGATCAAGTTTTTAGGTGACTCAATCAGGGGCACAGTTAGATCAAGTTTGTAGGTGATCGTCGGAAGTTCTTTTTTTTTTTATTGAGCAAAGAGAGATGTAGGAAATGTTAAATTAAAGCAAAGAAATGAAATGGGATTTTTTTTTGTTCTTATTTTTTCTGATTAAAGTAACTTTTTTGTTTTTTTTGTGACGAGGAAGTTTTTATAATAAAAGAAGGTCCCAAAAGGAAATTTTTATTAACCATTTGTTTTTTTTAAACAAAACAGTGTAAAAAACATTATATTGGAAAATGATTTCTCTCTCTCATGTTTTTTTTGAAGCAAAATGGTTTTGATTTTTGAGAAATGATTTTATTTTTATTTTTTATTTTGAAAACAAAAATAGCCTTTAAGTTGTTTTTTTGTTTGAAAATAATATTTAATATTTTTTATTTATTTTAGGTAATTCAGTGGGGATGACGAGTCCTTATCCGGTTTTTGAAAGAGTCAATGATTTTTTAATACGTTAGGTGAGAATAGAAGCCTAGACCTTAACTGGGGCACAAATGGTGTTACCACCATGGCCCCAACCCCATTATCATATTTTTATTTATTTATTTGATAAAGTAAGATAAGAGAAGATTTGAAAGAGGCGATCACAATATGTTCAAAAGATGTCACCTAAATTTTAATGAGCAGTTAACAAATCATGGGCCAAACAATGAGCAAGGTGCAGATGAAAAGCGTAGACTTTCTATTGAAGCGGACCCCTTTTTGCCTTGATAAAGGAAAAACTAGATGAATAACGTGGTGATAAGAGTGCGACTGATGCACAGAGGTTAGCCTAGGCACAAAAAAGAGGTGGGAGAGGAATAAGGGTACCCCCCAAAAAAAAAAAAACAAAAAAATTGTGGGAAGAGTGAGACAAGGGGGACCTATAGGAGCAATATGAAGCAATGGGTAAACTATACCCGGCAACGCCATAGGCATTGACCATCCCCCTCGCCCGGAACTTTAGTGGCGTCCTTGCTTTTAATTTGTTTTTTTCAGATTATTATTATTATTAATAATAAAGAAGACTCATATTGCTAATTTTTTTTTCTTTCTCTTAAACGTGCTTATATATATATATATATAAAAGAAGAAAGTTTATAAGGATAAGAGAAAAGTTTATATAGAATTGAGGCTCTAAACAATCAAATTTGAGCCTACCTCAAAAATTTTACTAGAAGAGATTGTTTTGATGCCCAAATATTCTCAAATTGATCATCTCGACATCAAGATGCATAGACATGAGAAATTTTTTTTTGGAAATAGTGCATTTTGCAATGCATTTTTGGATCGTCAATTTTCAAGATTTTCAAATTTTCATAGATTGGTTGATCTACACTATTTTTGA